AGACGTCAAGCCAAACTACGTGAGGAAGAAGAGGAGTAGGAACAGGAAGACGGACACGAAGACGACGACGGGGAAAAAGGTGAACAACGCGAGGACAACCAGGCCATCCCTAAGCGGGCGAACAGGAGGAGGGCGAACGCGCGGGTCACGAAAGGCAGCAGGAAGAGAACGGGAGGAAGGAGAAGCCATCCCTAGGCGGGCGAAGAACCAGAAGACGGGCACGCAGAACACGAAGGCGAGAAAAAAGAACGAAGGGTGAAACGTAGCTATGAAGAGGTGGCTGTCTTTCCTTTAGTGAAACCTCGATCCTGGTTAAATGTGAAATTCCGCTGGTCTATGATAAGCACGCTGAGGTCAAATTTTCCGACAGAGCCGGCCCGGGATCACACAATGGGTACACCCGAGGATTCCCCACGAATGGGGTGTACACACTTAAACTCCAGATGGAGGGTGCTAATCTTTCGAGTACAACTGATGAGTCTCGAGTACAACTGATGAGTCTCGAGTACAGCTGGGGTTCAGCTGGTTTTGGAGAAAAGGGCAAAAAGGGGACCTTTGTTTGGGGTGGGCCCGCCAGCTGCCCCCGGACACCGGGGGGCGTCTTCGTTGGCTGGAGACCCCCCGGGCCGGCTCCAGCCCCCTGCTGCGGTGGAAAAAGGTGGATGGTGGCAGGGTAATCTGCCACTCCGCACACACACACACAGACACACGCAGACACACGCAGACACACGCAGACACACGCAGACACACGCAGACACACGCAGACACACGCAGACTCACACAGACACACACAGACACACACAGACACACACAGACACACACACACACACACACACACACACACACACACACACACACACACACACACACACACACACACACACACACACACACGCCCACGCCCACGCCCACACCCACACCCACACCCACACACACACACACACACACACCCACACACACACACACCCACACACACACACACAAATCTTCGGACTTTGTAAGGCACAGGGTTCTACACCCAAGACTTTCCCCAACCTCACTCTCGCACCTTTCTTTTCTTTGGGCCAAGATCGGAACATACTTCACACAAGCGCGAATCAGGACTTCAATCGGGACCTGCCTCCGGCAGCTTCTCCATTAGGTTGGTCTCCTTGGGGCCGGGGGAGGGGGGGGGGGGGAGTGGGCGCAAAAAACCTCCCCACACATTTGGCAAAGCAAATGGCTGTGGGTCAAAGATAGGTACCCCAAATGGGTTACCCTGGCAAATGGACAGGACTAAAACCTGCGGCCCCCTGGTCGTTTTATTTGACCCATACCCAAATCATGAGTACTTCAATCTATCCAAGGGCTTCTCAGTTCTTGCCGACATTCATTCCACATGCATGAAAGCACATGTAAGCACCCAAAACCCAGGAACTCCTGGGTTTACCAACATGGTAGGAAAATATGTGCACCTATTGTTCCGCCCATCTTGAGCAACTACCATGCCCAACAAAAAAAAACAAAGGTTTCTTTAAAAAAAACAAAACAAAACTGTTTTTGTGCATGTGTATATATATATATATCTATTAATAAAGAACACACGTTTGAGCTTCCACGGTCGCTCTCACTTGTCCATTTTTCCGGTGACTCCGATTTTTTCCCTTCCGCTCCTTGGCCATGATCCTCCGGCGCTCGAAGAGGTGCGCCAGGAACTTCTTCACCCGCTGCTCCAGGGGCTTCTGGGCCCCGAAGCGGTTCATGTACCTCGCAGAGGCCGGGCCGGGCAGAGGGGCGCCGGACCCCAGGCCGGAGCTCGGAATCCCCGGGTAACCTGCGGAGGGCGTTTTGGGACGCTCCGGCGGCCGTTTTTTTTTGGGGGGGATTTCCGAGGGGGTCGAGGAGGTTGTTGTTGTTGTTTTTTGTTTTTTGTTTTTTTTTTTGGGGGGGGGGGGGCTGGGAATGAAAGGGGCCGTGTAAAGGCGCTGGAAACACACGGCAAAAGAATCATGACACAGGCGCCAACCACATCCTTACGCGAGGACCCAGGGCGCATTCGCACGAAGAACAGCTCGTCGTTGAAGGTGCGACCACGCTCGAAAATCTTGAAGTAGGCCTGCAATGCAATGTCTGCAAGGCTTCCTTTCATCACGCTCGCCCTGGGACTGTAACTTCTTCCGTTTTCTTGCTGCTTTGCACCTTCTCACGTGCATCTACGTGCATCTGAGTGTGTGTGTGTGTGTGCTATGGCGATTGGTCGGCCAGCTGAGACAAATGGCCATGGGTCAAAATCCAAATCCGTACCCCCAGTGAACATCCGATTCAATCCAACCACTAAAATAGGTTCTAAAATGGGTGGTGAATTCACCGAAAGCCAACCAACATGGGATATCTGTTTTGACAACCACTGCCAAATGGCCCCAGCTCCGCGGCTTCTGCCTCAGCGCCTGGGCCACTAGCTGACCTGCCTGCGTCAGCGATGCCACAGAGACAGCGAACGCTGAGAGCGCGAAAAACATGAACAGCAGCACAAAGATGCGCTCTGGGAAGTTCACCTGAGCGATTTGTTTTATATATATTTCGGATGCCTCGCGTCTCGCATGTTTTTGGGGGATGTGCTTGAACAAATCTCAACACCGGGCAAGGCTGCAGAGCCGAAGCTAGAAAAACAATGAAGTCGTGTTACTATATTCATTCATGAGCATTCTACCGGCCGCATGCTTCACGTGAAGCAAACAGCAGTGAACCAGCCAGCTGAGGGTTCTTCCAGGAATTTCCAGGATTGCAACCTGCCAAAAGCATGGCCCTGTGCGTAGCCCGGAAGCAAAGTCGCGGGATCGGCTGCTCAAGAATCCGCCTTGCGAAAGGCAAATGCATCGAAGGCTTTCGCGGAAACTTTTCGAGGCGGCCCATATCAATCAGTCGCAGGGCTGCCCATGGCAAAAAAAAGAGATCAGCGCTGAGCAAAACTGGAGCTTTTTCAACCCTCCTGCCCCGCAGCAAGCAAGCACCTTGAAGTGAAACAGCAATCATTAGCTGAGGGATGATAGGCGCACTTTACAGATTCGACGCCTTTCCCTCTGCCCTTTCCCATCCTGGAAGATTCTCTGGGCCAGGGCGCTGGGGTGACTTCGGCCGGCATGGTACGCATCACGCCCAGCGTCCAGTAGAAGCAAAAAATGTACTGCTCCGGAAGCGGCTTTTGCTCGTAGGACCACTCGCCTGCCCAAATGCGTCGATGGATGGATTTGTCACCAACTCACAGGCAGCAACGGCATGCCTTAACCGGTTTTGAGGGCGTGGCTCAGGTTATTTCGCGAGCCTTCTGCCTGAAAGGTGCTTTGACAAAGGGACCAGGGGTTATTTTACATGCCCTGTCTGCCTTGACGAGCCTTCGCCCTCGACGAAGGCTTACTTTTTTGAGCATGTGGCGAGGTTACCTGAGTTCATTTTACACGCCTTGGTTATTTCGCGAGCCTTCAAGTGCCTGAAAGGTGCTGGGACAAAGTGACCAGGTTATTCTTCGCCCAGTCATTTCCGCGAGCCTTTTGCCTTGATCAGGTCAAATCCCCAAACCAACCCTAAGGGTTACCTGCCTAAATCGCCAGTTGCCGTTTTTTTCGCCATCCGCTTTGCCCCCACAAACCAAACACCAACAACAGAGACCGAAAAAAGCGATCGCAACTTGGCCATCTAGGTGAGTTCATTTCGCGCCCAGTCATTTCCGCGAGCCTTTTGCCATAGGTGTCCTTTTAGGGGAAATAAATGGCCCTGGTAGATGATTCAACCACCAGGTAAAGCAGGGATCGCCCTCTATTTTTCTGCCAAAACAACCATAAAGGACACCTATGGCATTTGCCTTGATCAAATCCAATCCCCAACTGAGTCACAATCAAAACCCGGTTGTAAACTGGTCTACCCAGAACCATGCTTCAAGAATTTAGAAGCCGGATCTCACCTCTTTCTGGCATCGTTTTTTTTGCCAACCGGATCATCAATCCCCGAATCGGTGATCTGAGCGAAGGCGTGGCTCAACTCAGCGCCTAAGCTCACTTGCCCAAAAGACCAGGAAATACAAGGTTAACCCTTTGGGACCTTTACTAAAAATGGGAACCCAAAATTGGAAAACCAAAAAGTCATTTCAGGTCGATTCGCTTTGGGCAAGTGAGTCAGGCGCCAGCTCCCTCCCGCGCCTTGATCCGGCCCATCTCGCCGGCTCAAAGTGGTCCAGTGCGGCATTTGCTGGAACTTCTCCGCGCTGTCGCCGGGCAGCAGGTCCGTGAGCAGACTCTCCGGGCGCCCGATGACCCAAAAGAGGCAGGCGCTCCAGTGACACATGGCCACCACGAAGAAAAGCACCTGCCATGAAAATCGACTTCCATCTTGGGTGCTGTAGATCCCCCAGCAAAAAGCTTAACTTGTTGCTGGTTAAAAGGAAATATGAGGGGAATCCATTTGCTTTTTCGCCCCCGGGAAAAAAAAGAAGTGTCCAGTAGTGATAGATTCCCTTTAAAACCAACGAGGGAAAATCAAGGATATTCTTAAGCAAATGGAGGTAAGTTAGCCATGGTCGTTGCGTTCCTAAGGGAAAAAGGGCATCAACCCCCACATAGCCAAATGGAAAAAAATCGGCTCAAATGAGCCATGGTCAAAACTCCCATGGCCGATTGTGGCTCTTGAGCCATAGGCCACTAGGACTGCACATGGAATCCAGGAAACGGGTTGCTTTGTTTGCGGATTGCACATGGCCACTAGGAATCGGTTTGGAGGTGTCTTTTTCTGGACTCATTTCTGTGGGATATATGAAGGAGTACTCAGAGAGTACTAAAAAGGAAACTACAGGTGGGAAGAACAGGTGAAATCCACAAAAAGCTGATCCAAATGTGGCATGGTCAAAATGCCTCATAATGGCCTTGCAAAGGAAAAGGAATCAGCATACTTGTTGTTTTTTCCCTTTTTTTTTCTCGGATCCTAACCAGGTCGATGACCATCCCTGACCCCAAGTAAAGGAACCGGTCTTTTGAGCATAAATGGGTATGGGTCAAAATTAAACCAGCACGTGGACCGCAGGCCTTAGTTCGTGTCTCCATATAAAGGTTCCATCTTGGGTACCTATTTTTCAAACGCTTACCAGGCTGACTGGAAATATGCTTGTACATGCTTAGAGCTGGGCGGCAGAGGCAAAGACGCAAAAGCACAACTGGCTCGCATGATGATAACGTAGAGATGATTTCGATGCGAAGAAAACTGGACCACTTTGGCTAGCCACATGTTTTGATATGTGTTTTATTACTATTTAACAGGGATCCTTACATTATACACCTGAACATTGCCATGTAAATGATGGTTTCTCTTTATTTTGGTGGAAAAAGCCATGTTTCAAATGGGCAAAATGTATCTTTTAATGAGCCCTGTTTAGGTGAGGCACTTTCATCAGCATGATGCTCTGAATGATGGCAATGGAGCCGATCCGAATCTCCAATCGCTCCCAGACCGCGCGGAGCTTGGACATGCGCAGCATCCGCATCAGCCGCATGATTCGCAGGAACTTCAGCATCTTGAGCAACCTCAGGAAAAAGAACGAGGTCAAAGAAGTGTCTGGAAAAAAAAGACCCTTCCTCCCCACTCACATGGCACCTGTGGGTGCCCTCCTTGTCAGGTGCCATTCCAGGGGTTGATTCCTTGTCCATTCTTTCCAATCATCGTTATTTTATCAAAAACCGGATCCGTTTCCCCTCAGTTTCTGACAATCAAGATGTCCCATCCCAGGCGAAAAAAACATGTGGCCCACCCACCCGCCCATTTCCCCAGACCCGGCCTCACAGCACCTGCAGAGCTTCCGTCGCCAAAGGTTTCGGCCAGGCGTCCGTACGGAATTGTGCTGAAGAAGTCGATGGAGAACCTCGGTTCTCAACGTTCCTTCTTGGTGGTTTGGAGCCCGGGGGGACCCTAGTCGGGCTGTTTGGTGGTTTGGAGCCTGGTAGGGGGGACCCTAGTCGGCCTGTTTGCTGGTTTGGAGCTTGGTGGGGGTGACCCTGTTTACCCTGTTTCTTGGTTCCAATTTCCTCTAGTCGGGTTTTATTCAACGGGAAAAACAGGAGCAGGCTTGTCCAAATACAAGGGTCTCAAGCTAAGCCTGCACATAGCTAAGCCTCCCTCGTTGCTTGGTGGTTTGGAGCGTGGTTTAGCTGCTTTGGATTACCCTACCAATGAAATCAGCCGGAACCACCTTCGGGATCCGATCCCTCTAAAAGGAAAATGGTTCCAACCAGGACCCCCCCCTGTTTGGTCAGGCTCCATGTTTATTTGGAGACTAGGGGTTGTGTCCCATGCATCCTCTACAAGAACCACCAGTTAAGGGCTGCCTCTTCAGTTGCCCAAAGGCCCCAGAAACAAATCTCAAACAAACAAAAAACACAAAACCCACACGTACCTGCCCTTCACTAGGGAACCCAAAAAAGGTGAAAAGCTCGGCTTTAGACAAAGGAGCCAGCCGAGCAAGTAGTTCTTGGCAATGCGGAGTCTGGAGAGTATCCACGTGCCAGGCTGCGAGGGGTTCTCGATGGCAGTGTTAAAGGAGAAGAGGACATCCGTGAAGAAGACCACGGTGGTAATCCAAAACCAAACTTCATCAAAAGCATCCTCCGGCATGCCATGCTTGAATGAAAGCTGGAATGGCAGAATGATGGAGTCCGTGACCACCAGGAACATGACGGCGAAATCCCAGGTCATTTTGCCGGTCCAGTTTGGATTGAAGAGGTGATTCTCGACCTGAGACGGAGCAACGCTCGCAATGTTCCGAACTTGATTGAAAACAAAAACAAGCCGACAAAAGACTCCAGGCGCATCTGTTTTTTCGGGAAAAAACGAAAAAAAATCCCCGAAAGGCCGGCCGTCATCTTCATTTTCTCGGGAAAAAAAAGGGGGAAACACATCCCCGCCAGATCGGGCCGCGTTTAAAGGCATCTTTTGGCGAGCCGCTTCCGGCAGGTCCTCGAACTCGTCGGGCTCCGGCATCTTCCCCCAGGCCCCCGGCACGCGGCTGGACTCCGTGGGGCGCTCCGCGATGGGCGGCAGCTCCTTGTCGGAGCGGCTGGAGGCGTGGCTCACCACGGCCAGCCGCGAGCCGCCCGGCCGATCCGAGGCGTGGCGATCAGAGGCGTAGGGCCCCACGTCCTCGTTGTCGATGCCGTCGAAGGGCAGCTCCTTGGGGGGAAAATGGGGGAGAAGTCGCGCCGGCGCCGGGGGGGTGGACAGAAGGGCGTTGCAGCAACCGTCTCTTCCTTCTAGTGTTTTTGTGTGTTTTCGTTGTCGTTGTTTTCTTTTCTTCTTGCTAGCCTCTTCGACATCGCCGGGAGCCTAATCACAATCCGTAATCAGCTTAATCCGCCTTTTGGCTGGTAAACCCCTAATCCGTAATCCGCGCGGTTTATCGGTTCATCGCCAGACAAAGCCTCATACCAGTACCAGGCATCCACAACTCCATCCTGGAAACGTGACCGCACTGGGGCCCTTTCACGTGCCCTAGTGTCATTTTCGGGCTGCCGAGCGTGTTGTTCTAGTGAAACACCCCTTAAAAAGCTGAAAAGCAGTTCCCTCACAATGTAGTGGTAGGACGCCAAAACGGTCTAATCCGTAAACCGCGCAATCCGTAATCCGCTAATCATTGGGGATTAGGCTTGGGGCAAACTAGCTTGTGTGTGTGCGTTGGTTGTTGCTTTGCTTTTTGTCTATTCTTTTGCCCCACCCGCCAGGAAGGGGTTGTTAGACTTTACGGTGGAATCCGCGTTTGCGATGCTTCTGCACCACGCCCCCACCCAGTATCCCGCCAGAGCAGCTCGCCAGTGGATCCCGCCAAGTATTTCGCCAGAGCTGCTCGCCAGTGGATCCCGCCGAGTATCCCGCCAGAGCGGCTCGCCAATCCCGCCGAGTATCCCGCCAGAGCGGCTCGCTAGTGGATCCCGCCGAGCATCCCGCCGAGTATCCCAGAGTAGCTCGCCAGTGGATCCCGCCGAGTATCCCGCCAGACAGAGTAGCTTGCCAGTGGATCCCGCCAAGTATCCCACCACAGCAGCCCGCCAGTGGATCCCCCGCCGAGTATCCCACCGAGTGTCCCAGAGTCGCTGAGTATCCCTTGCCGGTGGATCCTGCTGAGTATCCGGCCAGTATCGAGCCGGAGCGGCTTGCCAGTATTCGCCAGTGGATCCCGCCAGTATCCCGCCAGAGCAGCTCGCCAGTCTGGTTTTGCTTCATGCCCCGCCCGGCGCACACTTGGGTTTACATTTCATGTTGGTGCTTTCGTGTTTTGAGTGTGCCCTGAGGCTCGGAAAGGGTGATGCTTTTGTGTTGCTTTGGGCTGTGAATAAGCAACTTCGTTTAATCCTCCGTCGGGTTTCTTTTTGGAAGAGGCTTGGCTTTTGTTAACGGGGCCGATGTTTGAGTTCTCGAGATCCGCTCGCAGACAAGTGGAGTTTGACACACAGACAGGTGAATAAGGCTCTCAATGCAAAGCTTGTCGAGCTAGCCGATGGGAATTTGGAGTCGAAGTCTCTAGGATGCGGAGGAATTTGTTGTCACGGTCGTAAGCTCGTGAGTGTGGAGGGTGGGGATTGCTCGAAGCGAAGTAATTGTGTATAGTTCATTGTTTGTGTTTGGTTTTAAGTTGTTTTTAGTGTTTCTTTTGTGTGTGCGTGTGTATTTTTCTTGTGTGTTTGTTTTAAAAAACTACCAGTAAAGTCCATCAGGGTCAGGGGAGGAAGTTTCGAACACATAAAAGCCACATGTTGCAGAACGTGCTCCAGCGAATGCGAACACGCGTTGTTCTCCTTTCGCTTCAAGTGTGCGCAGCTAGATTTCTTTTCGCGAAGCTCAGCCAGCCAGCGAGAGAAGTGGCTAGCTGGATACTTGGTTGACGTTGGGTTAGGGCCGTTAGGGGATCAAACATTTAAGTGTTAGCAGTTAAGTGCTTGGATTTCAACCACTAAACCACAATAAAATGTAAAATGTAAAATGAAAAAATCCGCCGACAACAGACGGCGTGTTGGACACAAAAAATGCTCCTTACCTCTTTACCTGTTACCCCTCCCCTAACCCCTCCCCGAAGACGCTTCACTAAATCTGTTCATTGTGCGGGCTTGCGCAACTCAGTTTGTCAAAAACATTGGGGTGTTCGATTCCCTCCGGGTGCGCTGTCGCATCCTAGCAGCTCCAGCGGCACATCGCCAGCATCACCTGCATCATCCGCATCAGCGCCTGCCAAGGATGCGGATGATGCAAGTGATGCTGGGGATGTTGCCCATGCTGGTGAAGGAAATGAAGGGGGGAAAGGGGGAAAGGATCTCAACAGCGAAAGGGGGGGGAAAGATCTCAGCAAGGAAAGGGAGAAGATCTGGGGAAAAAATGCCTTAAGGGGGAAAGGGGGGAAAAGATCTTTGGGAGGAAAATGGAAATCTTTCTCGGGGGGAACAGGCCCTAAGGGGCAATGGGGGGACAGGATCTCAAACGGGAAAGGGGGAAAAAGACTTTGGGAAGAGAAGGGTGGAGATCTTGGGGGGAAAAGGCCTTAGGGGGGAAACGGGGGAAAGGATCTTAAGCGGGAAAGGGGGGAAAAGATCTTAGGGAGGCAAAGGGAGACGAACTCAGGGAAAAGGACTTAGGGAGGAAAGGGGGGGAAAGATCTTTGGGAGGAAAAGGGAGAAGAACTGAGGGTGGGAAAAGGCCTTAGAAGGAAAAGGGGGGAAATAAATGATCTCAACAGGGAACTGGGGGGGGGGGGAAAGATCTTAGGGAGGAAAGGCAGAAGATCTGGGGCAAAAAGGCCTTAGGGGGGAAAGGGGAGAAATGATCTCAACAGGGAAAGGGGTGGAAAAGATCTTAGGGAGGAAAGGGAGAAGATCTGGGGAAAAAAGGCCAACAGGGAAAGGGGGGAAAAGATCTTCAGGGGGGGAAAGGCCTTGGGAGGGAAAGGGGGGAAAGGATCTCAACAGGGAAAGGGTGGGAAAGATCTTAGGGAGGAAAGGGGGGGGGAAGATCTTAGGGAGGAAAGGGAGAAGATCTGGGAGAAAAGGACTTAGGGGGGAAAGCCCAACAGGGAAAGGGGGGAAAAGATTTAGGAAGGAAAAGGGAGAAGCTCTCAGGGGGGGGAAAGGCCTTAGGGGGGAAAGGGGGAAAAGGATCTCAGCAGGGAAAGGGGGGGGGGAAAGATCTTAGGGAGGAAAGGGAGAAGATCTGGGGACAAAGGCCTTAGGGGGGAAAGGGGAGAAATGATCTCAACAGGGAAAGGGGTGGAAAAGATCTTAGGGAGGAAAGGGAGAAGATCTGGGGGAAAAAAGGCCAACAGGGAAAGGGGGGAAAGATCTAAGGAAGGAAAAGGGAGAAGCTCTCAGGGGGGGGAAAGGCCTGAGGGGGGAAAGGGTGGGAAGGATCTCAACAGGGAAAGGGGGGAAACAATCTTAGGAAGGAAAAGGGAGAAGATCTGGAAAGGCCTTACAGGGAAGGGGGGAAAGGATCTCAACAGGGAAAGGGGGCAAAGGATCTTAAGGAGGAATAGGAAGAAGATCTCAGCGGGGGGAAAGGCCGTAGGGGGGAAAGGGGGAAAGGATCTCAACAGGGAAAGGGGGGGAAAGATCTCAGTGAGGAAAGGGAGAAGGTCCCAGGCAGGGAAAAGGCCTTAGGGGGGAAAGGGGGAAAGGATCTCAACAGGGAAAGGGGGCAAAGGATCTTAGGGAGGAAAATGGAGAAGATCTGAAAAGGCCTTAGGGGGAAAAGGGGGAAAGGAGCTCAACAGGGAAAGGTGGGAGAAGATCCTAGGGAGGAAAAGGGAGAAGATCTCGGGGGGAAAGGGGGAAAGGATCTCAACCAAGGGAAAAGATCTTGGGGAGGACAAGGGAGAAGATCTCAGGGGGGGAAAGGCCTTAGGGGGAAAAAAAGGGAAAGGATCTCAACAGGGAAAGGGGGCAAAGGATCTTAGGGAGGAAAAGGGAGAAGACCTTGGGGGGGAAAACGCCTTAGGGGGGAAAGGGCGGGAAAGGATCTCAACAAGGAAAGGTGGGAAAAGATCTTAGGAAGGAAAAGGGGGAAGATCGCGGGGGGAAAAAAGGCCTTAGGGGGGAAAGGAGGGAAAGGATCTCAACAGGGAGAGGGGGGAAAACATCGTAGGGAGGAAAAGGGAAAACTCAGAGGGAGAAAGGGCCTTAGGGGGGAAAGGGGGAATGGATCTCAACAGGGAAAAATGGCAAAAGATCTTAGGGAGGAAAAGGGAGAAGATCTCAGGGGGGGAAAGGCCTTAGGGGGGAAAGGGGGGAAATGATCTGAGCAGGGAAAGGGGGGGGAAAGATCTTAGGGACGAAAGGGAGAAGATCTGGGGGCAAAGGCCTTAGGGGGGAAAGGGGAGAAATGATCTCAACAGGGAAAGGGGTGGAAAAGATCTCAGGGAGGAAAGGGAGAAGATCTGGGGAAAAAAAGGCCAACAGGGACAGGGGGGAAAGATCTAAGGAAGGAGAAGCTCTCAGGGGGGGAAAGGCCTCAGGGGGAAAGGGTGGGAAGGATCTCAACAGGGAAAGGGGGGAAACAATCTTAGGAAGGAAAGGGGGGGGGGAAGATCTTAGGGAGGAAAGGGAGAAGATCTGGGAGAAAAGGACTTAGGGGGGAAAGCCCAACAGGGAAAGGGGGGAAAAGATCTTAGGAAGGAAAAGGGAGAAGCTCTCAGGGGGGGGAAAGGCCTTGGGAGGGAAAGGGGGGAAAGGATCTCAACAGGGAAAGGGTGGGAAAGATCTTAGGGAGGAAAGGGGGGGGGGGAAGATCTTAGGGAGGAAGGGAGAAGATCTGGGAGAAAAGGACTTAGGGGGGAAAGCCCAACAGGGAAAGGGAGGAAAAGATCTTCGGAAGGAAAAGGGAGAAGCTCTCAGGGGGGGGAAAGGCCTTAGGGGGGAAAGGGGGGAAAGGATCTCAGCAGGGAAAGGGGGGGGGGGAAGATCTTAGGGAGGAAAGGGAGAAGATCTGGGGACAAAGGCCTTAGAGGGGAAAGGGGAGAAATGATCTCAACAGGGAAGGGGTGGAAAAGATCTTAGGGAGGAAAGGGAGAAGATCTGGGGGAAAAAAGAACAACAGGAAAAGGGGTGAAAGATCTAAGGAAGGAACAGGGAGAAGCTCTCAGGGGGGAAAGGCCTTAGGCGGGAAAGGGTGGGAAGGATCTCAACAGGGAAAGGGGGGAAACAATCTTAGGAAGGAAAAGGGAGAAGATCTGGAAAGGCCTTACAGGGAAGGGGGGAAAGGACCTCAACAGGGAAAGGGGGGGGCAAAGGATCTTAGGGAGGAAAAGGGAGAAGATCTTGGGAGGGAAAACGCCTTAGGGGGGAAAGGGCGGGAAAGGATCTCAACAAGGAAAGGGGGGAAAAGATCTTAGGAAGGAAAAGGGGGAAGATCGCGGGGGGAAAAAAGGAAAGGATCTCAACAGGGAGAGGGGGGAAAACATCGTAGGGAGGAAAAGGGAAAAACTCAGAGGGAGAAAGGGCCTTAGGGGGGAAAGGGGGAATGGATCTCAACAGGGAAAGGTGGCAAAAGATCTTAGGGAGGAAAAGGGAGAAGATCTGGGGGCAAAGGCCGTAGAGGGGAAAGGGGAGAAATGATCTCAACAGGGAAAGGGGTGGAAAAGATCTTAGGGAGGAAAGGGAGAAGATCTGAGAGAAAAAGGCCAACAGGGAAAGGGGGGAAAGATCTAAGGAAGGAAAAGGGAGAAGCTCTCAGGGGGGGGAAAGGCCTGAGGGGGGAAAGGGTGGGAAGGATCTCAACAGGGAAAGGCGGGAAACAATCTTAGGAAGGAAAAGGGAGAAGATCTGGAAAGGCCTTAAAGGGAAGGGGGGAAAGGATCTCAACAGGGAAAGGGGGCAAAGGATCTTAAGGAGGAATAGGGAGAAGATCTCAGCGGGGGGAAAGGCCGTAGGGGGGAAAGGGGGGAAAGGATCTCAACAGGGAAAGGGGGGGAAAGATCTCAGGGAGGAAAGGAAAAAGATCCCAGGGAGGAAAAGGCCGTAGGGGGGAAAGTGGGGGAAAGGGAGGAAAAGGGAGAAGATCTCAGGGGGGAAAAGGCCTTAGGGGGGAAAGGGGGGAAAGGATCTCAACAGGGAGAGGGGGGAAAACATCTTAGGGAGGAAAAGGGAAAAATCAGAGGGAGAAAAGGCCTTAGGGCGGAAAGGGGGAATGGATCTCAACAAAGAAAGGGGGGCAAAAATCTCAGAGGGGAAGGGGGCAAGGGGACAATTCCAAAGGGACGCAAATAAGAAAGCAGGCCTGTAATGTCGGCGGCCTGAGCCGGAGGCGTTAAAATATAAAACCACATCGTAAAATGTGTCTAAACCACTAAACCACAAATTCCGCAAAAATATGCAAAATGTTTCCCAACAACCACCATGGATACCCTACGAGTCCGCGAAGCTTTGCCAATTGAAATCCAACCTAAGCAACTTCGTCACGGAGCGCCCGGGCCCTCGGGCGCTAACCGCTCTTTTTTTCTCCCCCGCCAGAAGTGTTCAACTTGCGGGGTTCGATGGAAACTCCCACCAAACCAAACAAAAACGCTGGGCGCCCAAAAGACGCCTCGAAAAACGAAAAAAGAAAAAGACAACTCGCCGGGCACCCCCAAAAACAAAGGACTAAAACAAAAAGATCGCTTGGCACCCAAAAAAAACGCCGTTCGCCTCACCTCGCGACCCCCGGCTCTCCTCCTGCGCCTCCTCCGTGCCCTGCCACTCCGGCAGCTCCGCGCCCGCCGCGCCCGCGCCGCCGGCGCCGGCGCCCAGCGGGCTGGGCGCCGCGCAGATGGGGTGCCAGCAGGACTCCGCCGCAGCGCTTTGCGCCGTCGGCTCCACGGGAAGGGGCGTGTGCCAGGAGGGCCTGCGGGTCGTTCGCGCGTGCCCAGAAGGAATGCCGTGCTTGTGCTTGTTTGGTTTGTTTGATGGTTTTTGGCGGGAAGGGAGCAACTTTGGGGATCTTCTTTTCTTTTCTTGCTTTTGTTTTTTGTTTTTTTTTGGGGGGGAGGGGCAAGGGAGCCATTCGCCAAGAAGTTGTCAAACATTGTCTTCGGGCGAAGGGAGCAAATGAGGCTCTTGCAAAAAGAGGTGTGTGTGTGTGTTGTTGTTTTTTTGGAAAGGAGCCGAAGATAGCCAAAGGGGGCTTTTTCTTCCCCGCCCGTCCCAAAATATGTATTTATTTTTGGCGTCCCAAAGAAAAGAAACACATGTATCATGGGGCTAAAGTGAGACAGCCGTGCTGGTTGGGAGTCTCAGTTGTTCAGTGACCGGAAAAAACGGGAACCCTTTTTGGGGAAGACCATTTTTAGTGGGGCAGCCACGAGGAATAAAAAAACAGAAAACAGAAAAGAGAAAAATGGTGCCACTGAACACTGAGGAGTTTGTGCCCTTTTGCCGGATTGATCCGTCCGAAGCCCGTGCATCCCACGCCTGGAAGGAGACGATGAGGGTATCGCCGCGAAAGTCGAAGCGACGGATGGGCGAGTCGAAGCTACGGATGAGCGAGCTGCCGGAAAAGACGAAGGCGGCCCCTGACCGTAGCTTTGGCTGTTGGCTTTTGGCTTCAGCCCAGCGACCCCCCCCAAAAAAGCCCTGAAATTTCTCGGACTGGCGTTCTGTTTTTTTTTGCGTCCAATCTGAAATCAACCTTGGGGGGAACCCTCGGACCAAAGCCCATCGGTAGCCCTGCCTGGAACTGAGCGACCAAGTGTCTGCCTAAGCGTCATTTGCTCTAGAGGGGGAGGGGGGGGGGGGCTCCTTCAAGGAGTGACCCGCCAAGAACCGCTCTCTCTGCCTGGTGTTCGAACTGAAATATCAACCCCCCCAAAAAAATAAATACAAAACATATTGCACGTGGTGACCACGCCCAGGTGAGGCATCAGAGCTTGCCTCAACTTCACGCGCAAGGCCCGTCTGGCGTGCGCACACGCCCTTGCGGCATGAGCTTGCACTGGGGTAGAAGTGCCAACCAGGCCGAGCACAGCAACATACTGCAACACACCACATGCTCTGAGTCAAAGCAAACAATGCGTCATTAACCTTCTTTTCAAGTCAACAAGAGAGTCAGTGAGTTCGTGTGTGCGTGAGTCAGCCAGGCATTCAGTCAGCCAGCCAGTGTCTAAACTTTCAGCCGAGCGGCTATGGACGCTTTGCTCAATCCTCAGCAAAAAGTGAGCTCAGAGTTCCAGGCTCGCGCTCAAGCACCCCGCGCGCAGCGACGCATACTGCATCCCAGCCGCTCTTGCTGCAGCCGACCCACACTGTGCTTCAAGATCTGTGTAGCTTTGCCTTGGATCAAACAGAGGCCCTCTCAGCTTCCTTCGGGCCCTTGGGAGGTGCCAAGGAGCCAGGCGGAAGGCGCTCCCGGGGTTGGATTGATTCGGGGTGTGGCTCGGGGTTGGGCTCAGAGGGTGCGTGATGAAACTCAGAGCTGCATTGGTCTCTCAATGAGGGGCTTCAAGATGGGCGGTTTCCCTTGGCTTTCCCTGCAAAACCATTCCAAGGGTACCCTCAAACAAATACACAGCCGTGTGACCCAAAGCCACAAATTGCGGCTAGATCACATCAACCAATGTCCAACAAATAATCCTGGCCATTTCCGCCAAGAAGAAAAGTGGCCGCGCAGTCTTGCAGAAGCGAGGGATGTTGGGCAGGCGGAATACGCAGCAGCAGCAGCAGCAGCAGCAGGAGGAAGTAGCAGAAGCAGCAGCAGCAGGAGGAAGTAGAAGCAGCAGTAGCAGCAGTAGCAGCAGTGGCAGCAGTAGCAGCAGTAGCAGCAGTAGCCGTAAACAGTAAGCAGTAAGCAGTAAGCAGCAAGCAGTAAGCAGTAAGCAGTAAGCAGTAAGCAGTAAGCAGTAAGCAGCAGTAGTAGTAGTCGGAGGTGACAGTAGGCGCATCGCAAAACTTGCAAAAGATCCCTACAAACAAGCACACTCAGTTCTCTTTCATAAGACCGCTGCAAAGTTCTCAAGCCTCTTTGCGAGGAGCCCAGCCAGACTGCTGCATTCAGGGGGTCGTGGCATGTAGTTGTCATGTGACTGGATGACTGCAAGCAACGCGTGGCTGGACGCTTCCCCGGGGGAGGTTCTACCAGTGGGGAAGGGGGGAAGGGTCCGACCTGTCAGCAAGGGGGGTCCAAGCTCGAACCCCCCAAACCTGCAGCATCGTTTTCAGCATCCCTGGCCCATAATTCAATCAATACCCCTGGCATCACGGATGGGCTGGTGGTTGAGGTCTTACAGTTGATTGAGGACGGGGTTCTGGGCTTCGGTGGGGCATTGCGTTCTTTGGGGTGGGGTTTGGTTGGACTAGGCTGGGTGTAGTGCTGCTTCAGGGCGGGTTTGGGATTAAGTCTGAGGTGTGCTTAGGGTGTTTGTGGGTTTGTTTGGGGTGTTTAATGATACGTAGGTTTGGCGTGGGTTTGGGGTTGGTGTTGGGCTGATTCAGGGTTGGTACTTGGGGTTTTTGTTTCGGGTTTTCAAAAGACAAACAACAACAAGGCAATTGCTGTTTCTGGCTAGCTGATTCTTGCGGTGGGAAAGCAACCCTAAGGGACCTGGAAACTTTGTAGCATTGGCAATAGGGCAGCCTTTGTCAGGGTAGGTTTCAGTGGGTGCAATTGGGGAAAAGGACTGCGCTTGCGTGGGGGAAGTAAGGGTCAACTCAGGGTGCGTCTGGGTCTGGCTTTGGATAGAGTAAATTTAAGGTAGGGCTGGAGCCGTGTGTGGGGTAGGCTTGGTGCGGGTGTACGTGCTGGCTTAGGGTGGGCTTGGGGTTGAGCAAGGGTTTCGCCGGTATTTTGAACATCCCAGAAGCCATCCGGAACTCTCCCTGAAAGCTGCTCCAAACCTCCCCAGAGCTTACCTGGGCACAGACCGAGCTGTTAGGGAAAAGAGCCTACACCCCCCCTCCCCCCCCTTCCTGCGCGTCTGGGCACTGATCCTGTCCGGCACGTCATCTTGTGACAACGCCCTTAGGTTGACATCCAAGATATCCAGGAGCGCAGTGATGCCCTGGGTGACCCCACCTGGACTGCGCGTTCAGGATGGTTTGTGGGAGGCGCAATCTATTTGTTTGGCCAGCAAAACTTGCTGCTCAGCAGGTTCTCAGACAAAATTATTCGTCACCACTTGAGCTTGCCACAGGATTGCTACAAGTATAATAGAACCTACGGATTAATACGGGTGTTGCCCAAAAAGTGAAGAACATCTGAAAATGAGATATCCCTCCACATAAATCAAAAGGGAATGAGGGAATGACCCTTATTAATAACTTATAAACCATCCCTTGTGGTTTGCTTCGAGGGGACCCCTGGGTTCATTCCCACATGTGTGACAGAGCACCAGCAAGAAAAAATGGGTTTGTGGGGGTTGGGGGTTCCCCCTGTTTTGACACGTACCCAATTGACCATTGAAATTTGCCCATGAAAGGTCAATGGAAGACTGAAAGCTCGAACGGTGAAGTTCTCGCTGACATGGGTGGCTTGTCCTTTTGTAGAAGGACCCCCAACTTGGTAGCTTTCCTTTGGCTTCCCTTTAAAACCACCATGGTAGAGGGTCCCATAACAAACAAATGCAAATGGCTTTGGGCTGGCCAAAGCCAAGTGCCGAAAGCTACGGACTGCCTGCAAAGTTCAGCACTGGAGCATCGTGGTTCATCGCCGACCTCGAGCGCGCAGCGCGCAGACCGAAACCCCCAACGGCCCAACGAAGTCCAAAAGCTCACAAATGACTGGCGGACCCATGATTTCTTCCGAAAGAAGGCAAATAGCGGGCGGTCTGGTGGCAGACCCAAGGCATGTTGAGCGCTTTTCAAGGCTCGGGCGGCCGGGGCCTGCTGGTGTTATTTCGAGAGGTCACAAAGAGTGGAAAGGGCTGATAGTATGTTCGAGGCTTTTGCGCGTCATGCTGTCTGCCCCGAAAGTAAGAAAATTGCATCTTTGCTCTTTTCCCTGCCTTGAAAGATGGCAATACTCGCTGCCTCACATCTCAAAATGGCAAACATGGCACCACATAGTTAGCATTGCCCTTTCCGTGGGGCGGGTGGCCCAACATCACGAAACTTCACCCTTCCGGAGCCCTGACTGTTGTTTCTTCCAGCTGGGAAATCGCCGGCACGCAAGTAAAAAAGAAACGCTCGCCCATTTTTGGGGGCCCTGGCTTTCAGGAGAATAAAGGAAAATGTGCTGGTACCAGGGTTGGGTGTGCATCATTTCCTACCAAACAAGAACCATACGAATGACATGTTTACTTCTTCACACGCCTCATGCAAAACCCACAGCCCATGCAATGAAATGCGATGCAAGCCGCGCCCATCCACAGTATCATGAGCAGTGACTTGGGCCAAGCTGCTGCAAATGCGATAGGCTATGCGGTGATCATCGAAGGCTAACAGCAAAGCACTTACCTTCGTACGGTGGATGGACGAAACCCTGCACCACTTTAGGACTCCGTCCATCCACTTGGTTTGGACCTCAGGGGTACCTTCCCATTTGGTTTCAAAAGGTGCTGAGTCGTGCTGAGGTTCAAATCCAAATCCAAACCACCAACCGAACGGGTTGCCTGATACATTGCCCCATGAAAACCCAAACCACGGCGGCGACGAACCACACCGATGGGGATGGCAGCAACCGCGACCACGACCACAGCGACAAGCAACGACCAACAACCAACAGTCCACCAAAACGCAGACTGCAGCGAGGAAAGCAAGCAAACTCAAGGTGATGTCGGCCATCCCGGCCGCATCTTTCAAGCGCAATCTAAGCCTTTCGACTTCATGCCCACCCACCCCTGCAGCCCTACCTAGTGGGCTTGGGTGCCTGGTCCTCAGTCCGTCGCACCCTCCGAGCGCCGCAAAATGACGGGCGCGAAGCGGCGGGGGGGACCCTCCTGGGGTATGCAAAGGTAGGTAGGTATGTACTTTTCGCCTGGGTGTCCCCTTTCACTAAAAATCCTTCACTTTTGTGGGCCACCCCCCCCTTTTACCGGACTGGTACTGACCCGAGCGTTTTTCCCGCGCATCGATAAGAACTCACTCACTCACTCACTCACTCACTCACTCACTCACTCACTCACTCACTCACCCACCCATCCATCCATCCATCCATCCACCCACCCAACTCACCCACCTCACCTTGCTCACCTCGCCTCGCCTCGCTTCACCTCACTCACCTGCAGGCATGCAGTGCAGGGCGTGTGCTGTTGAGCGAGTGCGCTCTGCCTGTGTCCTTTGCGGGAAAAAGGAATCCAATTCGGCACGAAACCTGCCGGTGTCTAGGCTCACTCAAAAGGTGTACCTTTTCGGGGGCCTCGCTTACAAGCGGCCTTGCTGGTGTCTCGCAACCTGCCCGTGTGTAGGCCCTTTTGCGGCTGCAGGCACGTGTTGTCTTGAGCGGGTGCGCTTATCCTGTGGCAGGCACCTGTGCAGCACTGAGCCGAGGCTCCTGCGTGCGCCCCAGCACTTTCAGGAAAAAACTCAAACATGAGAAACACTGCCGGGTCAGACCAGTCCGGCGCCTTGTCAGGCGTCCTGCTACCGCATGAGCCGAAACTCAATGTGTTCCCTGCCCATGGAATTCGCAAGTCGCGGCCTCAACTGGTTTGGAGCGACGCGTCAGTTGAGCCGGCGGCAGCCCAAGCGAAGAAGTCGCACTGCTGCTCCCGAGGCCTTCGCAGAAACGCCGGTTTTTGCCCATGTGAGTCATAATCGACACCTGGTACTAGAATTGACTGAATGGCCGCAATCCCAGAACCATGCAAAGGATTCAAAAGGCAGCTGCTCCCATTTAGGGTTGGGACTAGAGATCCCATACTAGCCTTCATCTACCCGGGCTTTCATTGTCGGGACGGAGTTTTTGGGACCCCCGTATCCTCTTCCCAAGCTCTTCCCTTGCAGCCCGCTGCCTGGGGCAAGCAAAGAAGTAGCGGCCCTTGTTGGGGCCTCACGCCAAGCCGGCCCGCACGGCAGCCAACAAAAAAATCCAGGCCCCGCCAAGCTTGCCACGTGGCACGTCTGTGACCATGTGGGTGCGTGGTCAAAATTGGGGGCCCATCAAAAAGGAGCATTCCTCTCAGCTTCCCTTTGCCCAAGCTTCGGGTATCGAAGAACAACACGGCACTCACTCACGCGCTCTCCCGTCACATGGGTTTCCTCCTCCGAGCCGAAGCATGCGATGTGAGACACGGCAACCCGACTCTCGTTCGAGGCCTTCTTTCTTGACCTCAACCTTCCGGCAGGGCTCCTGGTGCTGGCAGTTCGGCCTCGGGCCATCAGGCCAACCATTATCACGTGGGGAATTCAAAACGTGGCTTGGAAGGAGGTGCCTTGCTTTTGCACAAGCTTTGCGCCCATGATGCTCTGTTCAGAGGGACGCCGACTTGAAGTGGGGAATGAGCTGCTTTTGGCAGCAGGCAAGCAAGCAAGAAAGCTGGTCTGGCAAATCGATGCAAATGTGAAATGGCTCTCACGCATGAATCATGTTCGAGGCGTGTGGGCGCCGAGATGCTTGTGCAAAGACTACGTAACGGCACATGCGATGGCCCGAAACACAGACGGACACAACATCTGCGAGATGCAAGTCAACCCCAGGCCCTGCGAGGAAGGTCTTTCTTTTCACTAATCACTGAACAGCACAATATCCAACAATTGTGCATACGGTACACTCCAAAAACACACACACACACAAAAAGAAGAAGAAAAAAAAACAAGCCCGGTCACGCTTCGTCGCTTTGGCTTGCTCCGAGCTGCGTGGGCACGGCTGTGGGGCCTCTCAGGAAATTCATCGGCTGCGGCTGTTAAAAAAAGACATCAGAAAATAGGAGAACCTAAAAACAACAAGAAACAAAAACATCAGAACATGGATGGTTTCCCTTGGGGGGATTGAAAATGAAGGGGAAAGCATCCATTCCGAAGGTTCCCCATGGAGTCATTGCCCGCCTGCGTCGGCCGCATGGCGAGCTTCGCCCTCATCGCCAGAACTGAGGCACAGGGCCACATCGCCAGCGCCTGCGCCCACTCCGAACCAAGGCTTGAATCAAGTGCATCAAGCTCATGCACAATGGAACTGACAAGTTGACAACGTGGCAATGCTGGTAGGCAAGCTGACGTCTCCCACACATCTCAACGAAATGACACGGAAAGCGAACTAACTCGCAGACGTTTCCTGCGGCTGGCTCCATTTCGACGTCTGGCTGGGCCGGACCTCATACACCAAATTCGGATCCCTGAGTTGCAACAAGCTACTAAGCACTCATGGAATTGGCAGGAAGCCCATCACCCTGGTTGCGGGTTCCCCTGGCAAAAAAAAACCTCAGCCCAGCACCTTCCGGATCTTCCTGCTTCACCAAAGCACGGGAGCCGCTGGCTTCACATCCCGCATCCTCTCAGAGAGGCATGACTGACAGGTGGCGATAACTCCCTGCACAAACAAAGTGAACAATGAGTTCAATCACCATATCAGCGACACGTAGTTCACCAAACCATGCCAAAACAAGCCATCCGATGATAGGCTACCACTGGCATCCTCTTGCCCTTGCCCCACCTGCGTTCGGCCGATTTAAACCCCCCCAAGACCAGGCCCGCAGCACACGTGCCGCACTCACGCCTCTTCGCTGGAGTCCACCTCGAAAGTGGGCACCTCGCGGAGGAGAAGTGCGACCTCGACATGGGCCGAGGCTTTCAGCCGGGTGAAACCTATGGCATAGGTCCTAGGTGTCCTTTTAGGTGACCTCAACATTGACCTGAAAACCAAAAAATGGTTTGGGGCATAGGTGTGTTGCTTTAGGGGAAATAGATGTTTTTTTTCCTTGGCAAATGAGGGAAAAAACACCAGGGAAACCAGGGATCGCCATGCATTTTTCGACCAAAACAACCAAAAGGACACCTATGGACCTCAACCCTCCCCAAGGAGACCAAAGGGTCGACACGAGTGAGGTGAACAAAACATGTTCTGTCCACCGGCCTGCGCGTCCGGGGCGGGCTCCAGCGGCACCTGCCAAGACGTCTCTTGAAGGCAAGTATTTGCAAATTTGCTGCGGATGCGGGGCGGCGGGGGGAGGGAAGTGAGGGAAGGGGGGGAAGTGGCGGGAGGGAACTGGTGGAAGGGGGAAGGGGGAAAAAATGGAGAAAGTAGGGGGCCTGGGGGGTGGTCTGTTGATGGTCCCCTGTTGTGTTTTTTATATTCATCTCAAACCTATTAACCACCTTATTCGTTTTTAAAAGAGGGTTTTTAGGGAGCTTATTTATCGTTTTCGTTAAGGTAATCACTTGGGTAAATTGTCGCCTTGTTCATTGTTGGGCTGGGGGCCGACATTTTTTTCATTTGAAAGAGTTAACCCTTTTAGTAGTTATCAAGTTCTGGGGTGTTGGTGGTTCTTTTGTTTGTCGCTGTCTGGTGGTGGATTTCTCACTTTGACATGTTGTTTCTTTACCATGCGGTATTTCTCAAAAGCATTTGACGCCCGTAGTGATTTGACTTCCCTTCTCGGTTTGTCTATCTGACAATGGCTCCTAAGCAGTTGCCAGTGGCTGATGCGAAGGCAAAGGCCACGACAAAGGCGAAGGCGAAGGCGAAGGCTCAGGCATTGCAACAGTATGCTGAGCCCGATGTGCCAACCCCGTTTGACGGCAACAGTGATGACTTCATCGCTCAGTTGCTTCAGATGGAACAGATGGAGGAGATGATGGGCACCGTTGCTTCGTCGTCCAACGACACCATCGACATGGTGCTCCCTCAGTTGGTGGAGAAGCTTGAGGGGTATGCCAAGGCGAAGGACGCTCTACAGTCAGTGAAGAACGCCCGCATCGCCATTGCCAAAGCATCGGCTCACCAAGTGGAGACAGAAGCCAAAGCAAAGGCTAAATCCGCTGCCGCTGACGCCCAAAGGCATCGCAACATCACGCTGAGCGTCACCTTCATGGACACAGAGATGGAGATTACGGTCAGTGCCTTCGTCAGCATCGGGGAGTTCAGGCGTATCATCATCAACCAGTGGAATATGATGAACGCAGGGCCGACTATGACATTCGCCAACTCCAAGCGTATCCGCTTGTCCTTGGATGGCGTGCCCGTGCTGAAACATCCTCGCTCCAAGCTCTACACCTCGGGCTTTGACAATGACAGCGAGGTGACTGCTACTATGATGGACGAAGACGATGGTGAGGAGGAAGACGAGGATGAGGAGGGTGAGCAATAGGCTTGGGACTAGTCTGCCTTCATCTCACAACGTACAAGCAGGATGAGGATGGTAAAAACTCCTCTCACATAGGTGTTGATGTTCCTCCATTTCACAGCCGTTTGCTTGAGAGTGCGTCCTCCTGCTGAAATGGTTGTGCAATTTGGTGTTGCTTTCACCTATCGTCATCACAGGTGAGAAAGAATGAGGACATTTGTGTGTTCAAAAGCAGTGTCAATACTATTGACCTTGATTGACATTTGACGTGCCTCCGACTTGCCACTGATGTTTGACTTGTCACTGGCTTGCCACTGGCGTGAATGTTTGTTTGTCTTTCCACCATAGCCTTTTACGAATTCAAACGTTGGCACCACTCCCTTGTCACGACTTGCTCTTGATGCCGTCGCCTTCACTGGTGTTCGTGAAGAACGATGAGGGCATCCTCATCCCCGCATTTGTGAACACCAGCGACACCATCAGCTCCTCCAAGGTGTGGTCACCTACCTCGTCTGATGACTTCATGGTGCTCACGCAGAAGGAGTTGCGAACGCTAGTCCCTCCGCATATCACCATCAGCCAGCCCATCAACAAGAAGAAGTTGTGCGAGACTATCTTCTCGAAGTGGGGCATGATTGTGGATTACAAGAACCAGAGCGAGACTTGCTACAAAGACACTTCAACAGCTCAGAAGGTTGGTTCTTCTGGCATGGGAGGTGGAGGAGGAGGAGACCCTCATGGCGACTCCTCTGACGAGGACAGTGACAACAATGAGGACTCAGATGGCTTCGAGGAGAACGAAGGGGAGTTTGACTTGGAGACCTTCTCCGAGAAATTCTTCGACATCTATGTCAAGAGTGGTTTCAGCCAGAGCCCCAGCATCATGGTCAGCATCAACCCCAGTTGGAAGGTCCGTTCTTTGGACTTCACCGTGAGTGCCAAGATGAAAGTTCCCATGAGTGCTTTGCGATACACCACCCAGAAGGGGGACAATGTCTACAAGACGCTCAGCTTCAAAGACAACCGCATCCAGGCTCGCCAGACCATCATCGTTATGTTGGAGCTCAAGGGCGGAGTCGGGAGAAAGGTTGTGAAACCACAGTTGAAGGAGAACGAGGTGAAGGCGAGGTTCATTGCCAAGAGCAAGGAGACCATTAAGCCCTTCTTGGATGCCTACGAGGTGGACAGCAACGTCACCCCTGCCGAGTTGACCCCATTGCTTCAGCCCTTGACATCCAAAGTCGCAGACATCAAGCGGAGGGTCGCCTTGGGAGAGGACGCCTTGATTGACGGCTTGATGTTCTTGTCAGATGAGCAGTTGGAGACCCTTTCCACGATTTTCGCCGTGAAGAAGGGCAAGTTTACGGAGCAGAAGTTGGTTCAGGCGTCATATGCCATCATCCCAGAGATGAAACTGGTGGACGAGTATGTCGGACACCTCACAAAGCACAAGAACATTGCTGTGACTGACTTTTTGGAGACCTACGCCACCACCTTTGTTCAGTCCCGTTCTGGCGATTTGACCTATGATAATGATAGGTTTGCTGAAGCGGTGAAAACCACCATTGCCTACAGAAAGGGAATTCGCAGGGCTTCAGAGGTTGCCAATGCTCAACCCAATGAGGTGGAAGACAACTCCACCCGCTGTGTCTTGATGTAGGGCGATTGATGGGAAAGACTCTTCAAAATCAGAACTCATTGGTTTCCAAGACCCAAAACCACTGGTTTCCAAAACCAAAAACCAACGGTTTTTGGTTTCCAAAACCCAAAACCACTGGTTTCCAAAACCCAAAACCAACGGTTTTTGGTTTCCAAAACCCAAAACCACCGGTTTCCAAAACCCGAAACCAACGGTTTTTGTTTTCCAAAACCCCAAACCAAGGTTTCTTTTTTGACCACCGAAACCAATGGTTTCCATACGTCACGTGTTGCATTGACCATCGTCCAATACCATGGTCTGAGCCAATCCATGTACAGTCGGATTGTAGAAACCTTTGCTGAGAAAAGAAGCGACGTGACAAATGGCGCCAGCCCATTTATCGCAGGAGGTGCTCGGAACGTGTGTCTTTTTTTTTGAATTTTGGGAAAACAGTTTTACACCCCTTTCTGTTTAGGAGGGCCATTCGCTCTTTCCTGCGGGAAATTGGGAATGAACCTCCGTGTATCTAGAAAAAATGAGAACAACAGTGTCAATCGGATGTGCGACACTAAAAGTGTCGTGCATTTGATTAGGGGATTGGCGGATATTTGCTTTTTTACTATCCATTCCGTAATCGTAATTCGGTCTGGGTGACCATTTATGTCACCCATCCTGTCCGAGCAAGGAGTGAGTGGGGAGCGAATGGGTCAAGGAGAGATAAGCATACCCACCACTCCTTGCTGAAAAGGGAGGGTTGATTATGGAATGGATAGTTTTTGCTTTTTAAATGGCATCGACCATCAGGCAACAACCGACCCTTCTTTTGTTTCAATGCTGATTATGCTGGTGATGCGGTTGATGCCTCACACGCCTTCAACAACACAACCCCCACCCATCAACCACCCCTCAACGCTTGTAATGCTTCATCCCCCCACCCATCAAACAAACTAACCCGACCAACACTACCATTCCCAGAAAAATAATTCTAATAATTTCATTATTAGAACTATTTATATTTTTACCTAATGCTGTAATGCCCATATGGTAATGAAGTGAAAGCATCAATATAAAACCTTTTATTTTCATAATTACTGAGAGATTGCTTTACTTGAGACATTGAATATATTTGATGCGACTTACTCCTAATAAAATTATATGTGATTTCGTGCTTTTTGTTTTGAACTAATGCTTCGTGGTAGTTCTGATACGACAGTTCTTTTTTAACTTTGTGTTTCACTACACCTTTTGATTTCTTATGTTCATCATCCTCACCGTGAATTGTGAAGGCATATGATTTAGGTTTTAATCCAATGAATTTAGTAATGATTTTTCCATTCACTTCGTCCTTAAACATTCCTAAGACCTTTTTATTAGTTTTGTCAAAGCATGGATGTTCGGGTGGATAGTCGCTAAAATCCATGTGTTGCTTTATATCATTGAAATCCTTATAGACATCATCAGTCATTGTTTGAATTACATAACTGTCAGTATCAGTATATATCAATTTGATGTTTTCATTATACTTATTTTTCAATACATCATAGTAAAACTGATACATATGTAATTTACTTAAATCTAAAATGCTCATTCCCAGAAAAATCGGTTTATCCAGTTTCAGTTTTGCTTTAGTTTTTTCAACTCCTACCAGATTTTCATTTATAATAAATCGGTTTTTGAATGTTGGGTTATTCACACATTTTTCATATCTTACCTCATTATCAACTAATTCAAAGTCCATATGATTTCGTTTGTCTTCCATGGTTTTTCCGTACACCGCGTTATTCATTAATTTGAACAAATCTTTCTCAAAATCGCTTTTGGCTTCTTTCCTTTTACCAGTGTTGAAGTCAATCCACGGTTTCAACCATGCCCTCTGTTGAAATTTTATTATCCTATGGACTTTACCCATTTTCATTCCCATTTTCAAATAATACTGTAAAGTCTTGATATGAACCACATATTTTTCTTTATCCTTTAGATTTAATATTAACTTACTTGTTTTCTCGTCCTTGGGATTTTTACCATCATAATATATTTTGAAGACTTGCTTTTGATAATCGGAAAGCATATTCACATTTACATTCATTATTTCAGGCGCTAGTGGATAGTCGGAGTGGAAGTCGTGCAATGTTTCGGGATATTCCAAATCAACTTCCATAATATAACCGAACTCATCGTTTTCATTCCATTTTTCAACAATGGGAGTTTTCTTTGCCCACTTGATATTTTTTAGCGGTAACTTCTGGGACATTGCCAAACCATACAAGTTATTAGCATCCAAGTAACTAATATAATTTGATGGCTTGTTCTCATCATATGCTTCCCCCATATACTTATTATTTGCCACTGCTAATTTATGACTGACTTGACACATACCACCTCTCATTCCCTTTTCAACCATCTCAAACATTTCTTGGTCATGCAATTGTTCTATTTCAACACCAGTTTTTAGAAGCATCGCGTCCCATGCGAAATTTGGCAATGTGTAATAATGAGCGGGGTCTAAACCGTAGTATTCCATACACAAGTCTCTAAAGTTTTCAAATACATCGGTCAGTAGTAAAACATCAGTTCTTAAATACAAGTCGTGATACTGCCCGAGTGTTCTAATCCCGAAGTGCTTCCATACTTTCAGTGCCCTTTCATAATCTTTATCACTTACATGTTCTTCACTCAATTTACTGTAAAACGCTTCTTTCGGTGGTAAAGCCCTTTCCTTAAATCTTTCAAAATCATCAAAGTAGTCATAGGGATAAATACCCTTATCAGTCAATAAATCCAAATCTTCATCGGTTTTAACATACGGGTTTCTAACGCTGTATCTGAAATTGTTCTTCCAGTTCTCACGCTTTTTATCATCCTCATATTTACTCAACTTCACCAACTTATCCAACGAAGACGATAAGAAACTGAAACTGTCCTTGAAACAAAGATTTTTAAAACCAAAGGTTATAAACTTTTCGCTGTTCTGAGCGATACATTCTATTTTAGAATTCTTGTTCAGTTCGTGAGCCTTGTTGATGATTAAGTGGGCATCGTAGTTTTTAAGGTTATGAAGAAACACAGGGATTTTATAATATCTCATACTAAATCGTAGATTGCAGTCCTCGTGGGCGCAACCTCTATACTGCCCCGTAAAGTGGCAATGGTCCCAACACTTCTTTTCTCCTTCCTCAAATTTGTTTCCGCAAATGAAGCAGTTAGTGGCATTATTGAGGTCCTCCCAGTCCTCCTCGGTTTCAATACGGTCTTTGACCTCCTTCACTTTCTCAAAAACATCCCATTTCACTTTCTGCATTCTTTTTACAAACACATCCATACAATCTTCACCTCTGTATAAGTAAGGCTCACTACTTCCGGTTATAGCATTGACTACATTAATCATAAAACCACAGGGACGATGATTTTGATATGATGTAGTTTTAGCTTTTGCCGATTTGCTTTTAACATCAATTGGCACAGTTAAACATTCAAAGTCGGCATAGATTACGAATGGAGCTTTAAGTTTCTTGAAATGGTTTTTGAATGCTATTGTTTCACCTGCTTTTGGCATTTCTATTTTTTGACCCTCAACTGCTAGACATCCCTGTTCTTCGTGTTTCTTTAAAAGTTCTTCTGATTGAAAACCATGAGAGCAGGTTCTACAATGATACTTTTTAACTTTCTTTTTGTTAGTCTGACTACTCATTAACTTATCGTAATTTTTGATATAAGCGTAATGCGATTTAACTTCATCAGTCAATTTAATTAAATCGATTTTGTGTTGCGCTTGTGGGTTGTTGCTTCTTTGTATAATAAAATAGTTTTACTATTCGTATCGGGGTTTATGTAATAAACATTGACCGATATGTGATTGTTCTGTTCTTCAAATAGTTCAATCTCATCATTACCTACTGGAAAGTTAACATTATCCCACTTGATGAAACTATCGTAAACATATTTCTTATAATGATACATCTCGCAGGGATGGTCTTTTTTGAATAACTCATAAAATCCGCATTGAACGGAATATTTAAAACATAAGTCATCCTCATTTTTAATATTAATACAAGCCTTTTTGTTTGCCACCCAGTCGGGCAATGAAATAAAGGATGAACCACGGGTAGGATTGTACCTATCATAACTGATGACTAACTTTTCAACTTGTACAAGAACCAAACTCGACTGAACGTCTTCGACTACTTCAATTTGTGTCTCAATGTCATGTCCAATGTTGTTTAAGACGTTGTTCAACTCATCGGTATTATGAATATTGTATCTTCTGCTTCTTAACCTCCTTTGAATAAGTTCATTGTCGGGATTTTTGAATGATAAATCAGTTTCCACGATTATTTTCATGTTCGGGTTTCTGTTCAGGAATTCGGCCAGTCGTTGCTTCTGGTATTTTAAGTAGGATAAACCTTTCATTCCCTTTAATCTTATATCACTTACCGAGTAGGTGTTGGCGTATCCCTTGAACGCTTGTTGCTCGTCTGTGATTTTGGACTTAAAACGCTTGACATAATCCTGTAAGGGTCTACCTCTCGTTAGTTTTAGATAATTAGCACCTTTCATTAAAAGGCCATGCTTTCTATATCCGTCACTCCTTGCCACTTCCTTGAGTTTTGTGTTCAATACGTTTGAAACTGGTTTGTTCTTATCATATCTGTAGGTCTTATCGCCTATTTTGAGCTTTTGTGTTTGCCTCCCTTCTTTTTGTATTAGTTCGCCTTGTTGGCTGTTTAAAATGAAATCTATGATATTTTTCTGACATGGTAACCATAATACTATACTCTATATAATATAAGGTATTTTCTCTTTAAGTAGTTTTTCGGGCTGGGGTTGACTGTTGGAGAAAATGGGTTTCGGGTTGAGAATGAACGCATTAATCTCATTAAGTGTTTTTAATAAGATGAATGATTATTATTTTTTCATAATGCGCATTGTCGCGAAGCTTGCGAACAAATTTTAGATTTCTTGTGTTTAGATAAATTTGATTTGCTTGATATCGTCCTTCCACAGTCCTCGCAAGTGTAAGACTG